TGTTCTTTGAAATCAATGAGAGTGAAGATACAATGTACCAGAATCTCTGGGACACATTTAAAGCAGTGTCTAGAGGGAAATGTATAGCAATAAATGCCAACATGAGAAGCAAGGAAAGGTCTCAAATCAACACCCTATCATCAAAATTGAAAGAGCTAGAAGAGTAAGATCAAAAAAAAATTCAAAAGCTAGCAGAAGACAAGAAGTAACTAAGATCAGAGCAGAAGTGAAGGAGATAGAGACACAAAAAACCCTTCAAAAAATCCATAAATCCAGGAGCTGGTTTTATGAAAAGATCAACAAAATAGACCCTTAGCCAGACTGATAGAAAAGAGAAAAGAATCTAATAGATGCAATAAAAAATGATAAAGGGGATATCACCACCAATTCCACAGAAATACAAACTACCATCAGAGATTACTACAAACAACTCTATGCACATAACCCAGTAAACCTGGAAGAAATGGATAAATTCCTGGACACTTACTCCCTCCCAAGACTAAACCAGGAAGAAGTTGAATCCCTGAATAGACTAACAAGGTCTGAAGATAAGGCAGCAATTAATAACCTACCAACCAAGAAGTGTCCAGGTCCAGACAAGTTCACAGCCAAATTCTACCAGAAATACAAAGAGGAGCTGGTACCATTCATTCTGAAGCTATTCCAAGCAATACAGAAAGATAGAATCCTCCCTAACTTATTTTATGAGACCAACATCATCCTGATATTGAAACCTGGCAGAAACACAACTGAAAAAGAAAACTTTAGGCCAATATCCATGAGGAACATAGATGCAAAAATCTTCAACAAAATACTAGCAAACTGCATGCAACAGCACATCAAAAAGCTTATCCATCATGATCAGGTAGAATTCATCCTGGGGACACAAGGCTGGTCCAACACATACAAATCTATAAACATAATCCATCACATAAGCAGAACCAAGGACAAAAACCACATGATCATCTCAATAGATGCAGAGAAGCACTTCAATAAAATTCAACAACCCATTATGCTAAAAACGCTCAATAAACTAGGTATCAGTGGAACATATCTCAAAATAATAAAATCTATTTATGACAGACCAACAGCCAATATGATACTGAATGGGAAAAAACTGAAAGTATTCCCTTTGAAAACTGGCACTAGACAAGGATGCCCTCTCTCACCACTCCTGTATTGGATTTCTAGCCAGAGAAATCAGGCAAGGAAAAGAAATAAAGTGTACTCAATTAGGAAAAGAGGAAGTCAAATTGTCTCTATTTTCAGACAATATGATTTTATATTTAGAAGAACCCATTGTCTTAACCCAAAATCCCCGTAAGCTGATAAGCAACTTCAGCAAAGTCTCAGGATACAAAATCAATGTGCAGAAATCACGAGCATTTCTTTACACCAATAACAGACCAACAGAGAGCCAAATCATGAGTGAACTGCCATTCACAATTGCTACAACAAAGAAAATAAAATACTTAGGAATACAACTAACAAAGGATGTGAAGGACCTCTTCAAGGAGAACTACAAACCACTGCCCAGGGAAATAAAAGAGGACACAAGCAGATGGAAAAACATTCCATGCTCCTGTTTAGGAAGAATCAATATTGTGAAAATGGCCATACTGCCCAAAGTAATTTATAGATTCAGTACTATCCCCATTAAACTACCATTGACCTTCTTCACAGAACTGGAAAAAAACACTTTAAACTTTATATGGAACCAAAAGAAAGCTGGCGTAGCCAAGACAATCCTTAGCAAAAAGAACAAAGCTGGAGGCATCATGTTACCTGACTTCAAACAATACTACAAGGCTACAGTAATCAAAACAGCAGGGTACTGGTACCAAAACAGAGATGTAGACCAATAGAACAGAACAGAGATCTCAGAAGTGATGCCACACATCTAAAATCATCTGATCTTTTACAAACCTGACAAAAACAAGCAATGAGGAAATGATTCCCTGTTTAATAAATGGTGTTGGGAGAACTATTAGCTAGCCATGTGCATAAAGCTGAAACTGGACCCCTTTCTTACACCTTACAGTAAAATTAACTCCAGATGGATTAAAGATTTAAACATAAGACCTAACACCATAAAAACTCCAGAAGAAAACCTAGGCAAAACCGTTGAGGACATAGGCATAGGCAAGGACTTCATGACTGCCACAACAAAAGCACTGGCAACAAAAGCCAAAATAGACAAATGGGATCTAATTGAACTTAAGAGTTTCTGCCCAGCAAAAGAAACAATCATTAGAGTCAACTGGCAACTAATAGAATGGGAAAAAAATTTTGCAAGCTACCCATCTGACAAAGGGCTAATATCCAGAATCTACAAAGAACTAAAGCAGATTTACAAGAAAACAAACAAACCCATTCAAAAGTGGGTGAAGGACATGAACAGACACTTTTCAAAAGATGACATTTATGAGGCCAAGAAACATCTGAGAAAGGGCTCATCATCACAGGTCATTAGAGAAATACAAATCAAAACCACATTGAGATACCACCTCACGCCAGTTAGAATGGCGATCATTAAAAAATCTGGAGACAACAGATGCTGGAGAGGATGTGGAGAAATAGGAACACTTTTACCCTGTTTGTGGGAGTGTAAACTAGTTCAACCATTGTGGAAGACAGTGTGGCACTTCCTCAAGGACCTAGAAATAGAAATTCCATTTGACCCAGCAATCCCATTACTGGGTATATACCCAAAGGATTATAAATCATTCTATTATAAAGACATGTACATGTACATTAATTGGGGCATTGTTTACAATAACCAAGTCCTGGAACCAACCCAAATGTCCATGGATGATAGACTAGACAAAGAAAATGTGGCACATGTACACCATGGAATACTATGCAGCCATAAAAATGATGAGTTCATGCCCTTTGTAGGGACATGGATGAACCTGGAAACCATCATTCTCAGCAAATTGACACAAGAACAGAAAACCAAACACATGTTCTCACTCATAGGCAGATAGATGTTGAACAATGAGAACACATGGGCACAGGGAGGGGCAACATCACACACTGGTGTCTGTTAGGGGATAGGGGCTAAGGGAGTGACAGCAGGGGGCGAGGAGGTTGGGGAAGGATAACATTGGGAGAAATGCCTGATGTAGGTGACAGGGAGATGGAGACAGCAAACCACCATGGCATGTGTGTACCTATGCAACAATCCTGCAGGATCTATACATGTACCTGAGAACTTAAAGTACAATTTGAAAAAAAAAAACCTCTCTCCTCATTAAATAACAACTCTCCCCATTAAATAACCACACTTTCTTCTAACAACCCTATCCCCATTAAATGACAGCTCTCTCCCCCAACCACTCTACTACTCACTAAATAACAACTCTCTCCTCATTAAATAATTCTGTCCCCATATCTCTAGTCCCAAGCAACTCTCCCATTAAATAACAACTCTCTTCCCAGCAACTCTGCCCCCGTTAAATAACAACTCTCCTCATTAAATAACAACTCTCTCCCTGAACAACTCTCTCTCCATTAAATAACAACTGTCTCCCTCAGCAACTCAAAAAAAAAAAAAAAAAGAATAAACATATTTTATACTTTTAAAGAACACAGAGAGGGAGAGGGAAAGAGGAAATATTTTTCCTATCAGATTTCAGAAGCCATGTATCTTTTATCCTCAAAAGGGAAACTATTGAAGATCAATTTATTTGTGAAAACAAAATTATGTAAGAAACTATTTGAAAGATTAGGTATAATTTACCTTCAATATTAATTGCTGTTTATCTGGATTTTACAAAGTGGTAATATGAAAAATGTAATCCATAGTATAATAGTATTTGAATGTTAATAAAGAAATGTTCTGACTAGAAAGATGATTTTTGAAACAGCTTGAATATTCCTAATTTGGAAATCTGACATCTGAAATGCTCTAAAGTCTAAACTTTTTGAGCTCTGACATGATGCTTAAAGGAAATGTTCACTGGAACATATAAGATTTTACATTTTGAATTAGGGATGCTGAACATAAGGCAAGTATTCTAAATTTTTTTATTCTAAAATTTGAAACATCTCTAGTCCCAAGCATTGCAGATAAGGGATACTCAACCTGTACGTAACTCAACCTGGAAGGGCAAAATAGTAACAGCACATTGTAAAGACTAGCATAGCTAGAGACATGTTCACATTGGCCACTTCTCTGAAATACTATAGATTTTACTGTTACAAATGAGGGAGAAGATTTTCAATCACCAAATATAAAAATCCCAGTAAGAGCATGGAATGCATATATCAAAGATTTGGACATGAGACAGACTATCTGCACTCCTATTGTTAGGGATTTTTAATCTTTGTAATCTTGTCTGTAGAATGTATTTTATTTCTTATTTTTAACATTAATATACCTGCTTTGTCTTTGTTCATTTTCCAGTTGATCAGCAGCAGCTACAAGTTTGCTTGCTTTCTTTGAATAGGAAATGCAATATTTTTCCCTTATGCAAAGCTCTATGTGACAAAATGGAAAAATTAAGTATTTTCCATGCCTTTTTTCTGAATAAAAGGTTTGTAGTTGGTGGATTTTTAAATCCAAATTTGGAATTTTTTACAAAATAAGAGTCTACATCCAGTGTATATTGTTTATTTTGCATGTTTTCCCAATGCTTTGGAAAAGTAAAGTGCTATTTGGTTTTATTAATAAAGTTTCACTTTAATTTTCTTTGATAGAATTAAATTGCCTTGATAATAAATATTAAAAGTTTCTAGTTCATGTTTGCTTGCTATCTCTCCCCTTAGAGTTACAGTGGCAGTAAAATGAATGAAAGAATGAATTAAAGTGAAATGAATTGTTTTCTACTTTTCTGACATATACTGTGATTCACTCTGTATAAAATTGCCAGTGGATAGTTCCAGGACTGTGCTACTTAGGGTTTTATAGAGCTGAGTCAGCTGAACTGAATTAATGATTGATTTCTAAAAGCTTCCCTTAAGTAAACTTAATCTATTTTTGCCTTTTTATATCCTAGGTGCCCAAACCAGTAGATTATTCTTGCCAACCCTGGTAAGTATTAAAAATGTTTATGTAGCTAAGTTGAAATACCATCCCCTTAGCTCCAGGATGCCTTAAATGTGGGGGTAGTAAACCATATTCCATTTCCATTTGTCTTGGCTAACAGTGTTTTCAGATGTAACAAAACACCGTAATGAATTCATGTATTGCTGACCTTCCTATATCTTTATCTGAGAGCGAGGTGCATGTACATGCATGAGTGCCCAGTTGCCCTTGACTGATGATTTAAAGTTTATAACAGCCACAGAAAGGATTGGAACATATGCATATGTGTCTTCTATTTTATAGTTAAAGCAGAGAGAAAAAATATGATTTCATTTTCTGAAACTAAAAATTAGCTCAAAAATGGACAGTAGTCTATTCTTTTTTTCATTTTTTATTGTTTTAGAGATGGGGTCTTGCTCTGTCTCCCAGGATGGAGTGCAGTGGTGTGGTCATAACTCACTGCAGCCTTGAACTCCTAGGCTCAAGTGATCCTCCAAAAATGCTGGGATTACAGGTGTGAGCCACTGTTCCTGACTAACAATAGTAGCTTCTAAAAATAAAATTTACAACATACAATATGGGAGCAACAAAATATGTCATAAGGATGGGGCACCCTTACCACTTAAAGGCTGACAGTATCATTAACAAAACCAAGGAAGTGTAGTGGATGGTAATTATTATTTTCTAGATATCTTTAACTATTAAAAAATATATTTAGGATCCACAGTAGTTATGGTTATAATAACTAATACATACTATTTACTGTGCTTTGTACTGTACATGTTTTGTTACTTTGACATTTATATAAGAAAAGTAGTGGTAATTGTTGTTATTTTTATACATGAAGAAACAAAGAAACAGAACATGCAGCTAGTGAGTAGTAAAGCTGGAATTCCAAGTTATGCCATCTGTACATTGCTCTACTGCCCCCAAAATACAGAATGTGGGCACATTACTCATTTTGATTTGTTTTCCTGAATTTTGTATTTGACTCCTCTTAAAAAGAATGAATCAATTTTGATATTCTTGATATTAAAACACATGTATAAAAATGAGAGATCAGAATACATATATAAATGAAATATCCTGGGAATATATAGTACGAGTTGGGTTTGCATGTTACCATGTGAATTATCTGATTTTTTTTTACATATTCTGATTATTTTCTGTTCTATAACAAAAGCATGGAACATCCTGAGTTACTTTTTAAAGTGTAGGAATCCATTGTGCAGGGTACGGGATTTTCCTGCTTGGGCCCTACCCCACCTGCCCCTCCTCTGGCAGTCACTCACTTTTGCCTTCTGTAGTTACTGTCTACCCTCCCTGAGATCCCTCCCTGGGCCTCAGCACTGAGCTTGCTGAAGAAATTGCAGCAGGTTTGTGATAGAACTGGAAATATACTTCATTTTTACCTGATTGAAGACAATTTGAAGTCATTAGTGTCTGTGGAATTTTAAACTGTAGTCCTGAAAGAAATTATATTTGGAGACCAGAGCTGATAGCATTGACAATCAAACTAAAAAAACATCGGGAACTGTTAAAGAATCTTGAAAGTGTGATGATTAGGTTTCTTCTCTTACACCATTTTTCATGTGACTGGGCATTATAGTTACAAAGGTAATGGTTTGAGTGATAAATACCGCTACCTCAAACTGCATGGATTTTATGAAATAAACTTATCAGGTACCTGAGAACCTTCAGGGCACCAGAGGATAGGTTTTGTACCCTTGTTTTAAAATGCACCCTTGCCAGTATGTAAAATCCTACTGAAACTATGACCAGTTATAATATTATTTGTAAAAAAGCAAAATGTTCAGGCAGAGATAAAACCTTGAAAACAGGAAGAAATAAAGATATAGTAGAACTTTAAAATTACTTTTCCTCTTTTCTTGAGCAACCTGGACAATCTATTTAAACTAAGCAAGCAGTTTGATGTGAAATGTCTTCTGCTAGGGAACAAAATGACCACTACCCCAGAAAATAAAACCTTCAGTTTTAGAAATACTAAACTATTTAGAGAAAATTACATTGCATAATGGTATGGTAGTTCTCAAGTCACTGAGAAGTTAAGTATCATCAACTATATTATCTACTCATTATTTCTACATTTAAAACTAAATTGTTTCCACAAGGCAAATTTTGTATCTTGCATACAGAATGAAATAAATAGAAAATTAAGATGATTGTCTTAAATAATCTATGTTTTGGAGTATCAAAAGACAGGAAAGAGATTTGGAACTGCAAACTGGGGAACTGTCTGAAAATCTGTATGCAGAACAAGAGATAGATGCAGGGTCCCTGCCTTTTCTCTTACGAGTCAGACAAATTGCCTTATATATATATATATATATGTAATTCCCCTGTCTTGGTATTTAGGCAGGAATTTGGAAGATTTTTGGCTAAAGAAACAAAATAGAGTTAAAAATCTAAAATCCAGACCTGTGGGTGTTTCCCAGCCCAGTCCTCAGGTGCTTATCAAATGATCAGACCTGGCCAGGCGCAGTCGCTCATGCCTGTAATCCCAGCATGTTGGGAAGCTGAGGCAGACGGATCATGAGGTCAGGAGTTCGAGACCAGCCTGACCGACATAGTGAAACCTCATCTCTACTAAAAATACAAAAAATTAGCCCAGTGTCATGGTGGGCGCCTGTAATCCTAGCTACTCAGGAGGCTGAGGCAGGATAATTGCTTGAACTCCAGAGGCAGAGATTGCAGCAAACCAAGATCGCACCACTGCATACCAGCCCAGGCAACAGTGCGAGGCTTCATCTCAAAAAAACTAAAAACAAAGATCAGACTCCTACGCAATGGACCTACTTTGGTGCTCACACACACACAGCTTCCCATCAATCGTGGATGCAGCCCTCTTAAGTAGAAACAAACAACAAAGATTAACCGTACCTTTGAGAAAACCCTTGAACTAAAAAAAACAAAAAAGAAAAGAAAGAAATTTGAAAATACATATTAGTGTGAGCAGATGACTTAAAAAAACTTTTATTTACATCTTCAAAATTAAAAGTAAACATAAGTTCATTGGAAGTAAGCTTGATGTTTTAAAAAATAATCGAAATAAAAAGGAGTTCTTACAAGTTAAATATTGTAGAAGACTTGGAAAATAAAGTAGAGCAAATCTTCTAAAAAGTCTGAGATAGATAATATGGGAGAAACGATATGGAAACTAATCTATTGACTCAGGGGATACAGCATTCAAGTCGTAGTAATTCCAGAAAGAGAAAACCGAGGACAGCAATTATCAAAGAAATGATACAGAAATTTCTCAGAACTGAAAGACATGCGGCTCCAAATTAAAGATGCTTCTAAAAGGCCAGGAAAATGTATATTTTAAAAACCCCACATTATCATAAAATTTTGCAGTATAGAGAATACAAAGAATCTGAAGGTTTCTAGGGAGAAAAAAATCAGATCACATAGAGAATTAGAATTGGCATTGAATGGAAGTTAAAAGACAATGGATCATTGTATTATTATTTGAGAGGCAAAATAATTTTTCATCTAGAACTCTTTACCCAATAGCCAAACAATGAATATTTTAATAATATTCATAGGCAAACTATGAATTACTAGGTAAAATAAACTATTTTTATAGATGTGGGACTTTAGAGTGTTACACCCTGTATATATTTACAGAAAACTGAAGGATGAGCTAGTAAACCAAGGAAGAGGGAGATACAGAAGCCAGGAAGGGGGAGCAAAGAGAAGTATGTCGGGACTACAGTAATTCAGCAGGCTTAGTAGAGCAAGCAGTATCAATTAGAAGAGAGTGGAGGGCTCAGAAGAAAAGTTTCCACAGAGAAAATTAACAGGTAGATTATGTGGTTGTCCTAATCCAATTAATATAGGTTAAGTATCCCTTATTCAAAATGCTTAAGATCAAATTTCAGATTTTTTTTCAGATTTTGGAATATTTGCATATACATATGAGATATATTCAGAATGGGACCCAAGTCTAAACACAAAATGTATTTATGCTTCATATATACCTAATACACAAAGCCTAAAGGTAATTTTATATAACACTTTAAATTTTGTGCATGAAAGTTTTGGCTGCATTTTGACAACACTCTGCCTTCAAACCATAGCAAAGGTGTTGAAAGTGTATTATTGGGAGGTGTATTTGGAGAATTTGGAAAGAATCTGTGATAGAGACAAAGAACTTGAATAAACAAAAACATAAGCAATTTTATTTTGGAGGGCAGATATTCTTTGTATGGACACCATGCCAAAACTGGGCCAGATGACAGCCTGGCTTTGTAGAGGTTACAGAAAGACAAGAGGGAGGAACAGCCCTGTAAAGGAGTAAGCACAGGTGGTGGGGGAAGATGATTTTTCTTCCTGAAATCGTCTAAAATTGATAAGAAATAGTCATATAATTGTTTAGAAATAGACAAGTAGAAATAAAAAATAGGTACAATGTTTGAAATGCGACTTGGAGTATAATGCTGGTCTAATGGAATACTGCTGCTGCTTTTTCATTATAATTATTATAATGTAAATGGACTTTTAAAACTATGTTAATGCATAACTTTGATAAAAATGCATACACTACTAATTGTGATAAATGCTATGAAAATAGGGATACTGTAATGAGAATAATGGAGTAAGTAGTACAAGATGCAGGACAATGTTCTTTAGATGATATGGTCAGAAAAGACCCTTATAAACCTGAACAATGAGAAGGAATATTGTTATGATAGAGGGTGAGTGTTTCCAGACAAGGGTACAGTCTGTGAGAAGACTCTAAGCTCAAAAGGAGCTTGAGAAATTCCTGGATCTGAAAGAAGGCTGGAGACTAGTTATGGAGGATGTAAGAGATAAAGTTGAAGAGAGGTAGGCATGAGTCAGATTATACTAGGTCCTAGTAATTCATGAGTTGTTAGAACTTTTCTTTTAACCCAAGGTACCATCTGCATAAAATGCCCTTAGTTTCTCTTTTATACTTGATGGAAACCTAACATGTCTTCTCTCAACAAACTTTTATTGAATGCCTGCCATAGGCATTTTAAATGAATATTTTTTGTGTTAGATGTTGATGTTTATACTGAGTTGTACTGAGTTATATGAGTCTATATGTGAACCCGAGGACTTTCTGCTCTATTAATTATTGACTAACTTTGAAAGAGAACCAATCTAAACAGAATTTTTCCTTTAAGTTGTATTGGCCAAAATCTCTGATGTATCTTGCCAAGAGATTTAACACCTATATTTGATGTGAGGGATCATTAAAGAAAATTTTAAGATTGAATTTGAGCCTTTTATTATTATAGTTATTATGGAAGTTGTGGGCTATATGAATTAATCTCAAATTAAAAATAATTATTAAAAATAACTTATTGTTACTAGAATTTCCTTTAAAGAGACTCTTAAAGGAGATTTCATTTCATAGTCTATGTAGAATAGCTAAAATAAGTGTATCCATGTATCTTACGCAGGGCAGTGTCTTTCTACAAGTCTTTTCCTTCCTGTCCCTAGGTTCTCCGCAACTGTCTTTTAACCCGGTACCTACTGACTCCTCTTTGTCCTTTTTATTTACTAGGTGCTTAGTGGATATTAGGCACTGTTCATTTTGCTGTTGTTAGCTTTGTAGAGCATTTGCATTTGGACATATTAGAGGACCTTTTTTCTGATTAATTTTTCTTAATGTAATTAGTATAGAAATACCAACAGCTCAGATCTGCCGCTAAATTAAATATTGAGAGATACTTACTTTTAGCCTCTGTTCTCTTCCAGGTATATTATCCAAAATTTCTGTGTCATTGTGTTTTACAGGTATGCTGGAGCAATGGAAAGATTGCAAGCCGAGACTGAACTTATTAATAGGGTAAATAGTACTTACCTTGTGAGGCACAGGACCAAAGAGTCAGGAGAATATGCAATTAGCATTAAGTAAGTAGGACAAGTACTTTTGCAGAAATAGATTTCCTGTTTTTATAATTGCATAGATCATCTGACATGCCTAACGCTGAAGTTGAGAACCGAAGTTCTCATTGCAGCAGAAATAATGCACCTATCCAGACAGTTCATTAATACTTGAAAATATCTCTTAGAAAAACAGTAATAAGTGTTATAGGCTGCTAATTGACATATTAGATTTCTTTCATAACATTGTATTTTTGTGGTTGGATTTGTATCTATTTCTAGTAAATTCTAGCAGTATAAATTTCTCAATTTTTGTCTTATTTTTCTATGTTTTCAAACTGAACTTAATAAATTGAGCATAATGATTAGTCAAATCCAATCTCCTTTCTCACTTCAAATGTTGGTTGTATCTTCAACCAATCTAGTAAATATATTTTGTTAATTAGCTGTCACCAGTGTATTGGCATAGGTATATATTTTGTCTGCAGAATTAATTCCTATAATGTTATTGGGGCATGCCCTCTGGTAATTATTGATTTCTACTGATTAAAAACACATTTATATTCATAAGTTATTCATTGCCCACAGGTACAATAATGAAGCAAAGCACATCAAGATTTTAACAAGAGATGGCTTTTTTCACATTGCAGAAAATAGAAAATTTAAAAGTTTAATGGTAAGCATTGATTATTTCTTTTCAATCTAGGATCCTTATTTTTCTTTTGTTAGAAAGGTCATTTTAATTCTATAGTTTCTTAGATATTTGGTTAACTGAAAAATTACTTAAAGAGAATCATATTCTAATTTTGCAACATAATTCTGAAAATTCTAATTTAAAAATCTCTAAGTTTTATATTGCTCAAATCATATTCTCCATTATAAATTGTTTGCAGGTTTTAGATAACATTTCAGTCTATATTTTTATAACACTTAGAGCAATGCCAAATTCAAATATAAATACAATAAACTTATATTTCTGTGAGTTTTGGTTTGTGTTTAAATGACACAGCAGATTTTTAATATACTTTTCTCTCCTTTTTTTTCTTCCTTTTTATCTATGTCCTGATTCAGGCAGAGGACAGCATTTTAAATCATAACACAAAAAGTTGTAATTAGTAAAATAAGTCTAACATTTAGCTTCTATTTATATAAAATGTAATAAAGTCAAATTGAAAAGATTTTTGTATTTTTCTGATATTTTAAGTGATTTCTGCTGTGTTTCTCATTCATTACCTTGGATAATTATGCATTAACAAGGTAGCATTTTTGTCACTTAACAGTTGATATTTCATAGGAATCGTATATTTAAATGGAAATAGTATATTGTCAAAACACATCAAATGAATAAGGATTATTCCCACAGTTAAAAAAAATACAACTTATTCATACTCTTGTTAGCACAGAAGAGTATTTCATGTATGTCATTTAAACAATGTATATATGTCATCATATATGCATTGTTAACAGTAAACTGTAAGTTCATATTTCCTTAAATGGTCTCAAGTGTATTTCTCAGGTTTGGTAGTTTCTTGAGATAATGACGAATTTGGATATAGGACATAAGATGCGTTTGCACTGCTAAGTACTTTGAGTAACAGAGAGAAGGACCACTCGTTGATTGAACCATTAATCAAATGATACATACTGCATCCTTCCAGAAAACATCTCAAAGCACTTTACAGTTGTTAACAATATAGTTAAACTGATTGTAAGGGAGCCTTACAAAGCAGGCCCGCTTGAATACCTTATCCAAAAATTTAGAACTGCTTCAAATTCTGCAGGTGTCAGTGTTTTAAAGAAATTGAAGCATCTTGAGTTGAAAGATATATAAGAAAATCTCTGTGGATGTAAAGATCATTCCCCAGTTCAAAATCTAAGGATGGGCAGCAAGGTCATGTCCTTGAAAATGTAAACTCTGTCAAATTTGTAACCAAGATCCAGGCATCTTCCCTGCTGGAAGTGACTTACATTCTGTTGAAACAAGTAGGCTGAGCACAGAGAGAATTGGACCAGAGGAGGTTCTTCATAAAATGAAAATCTGGAAAGGAGGTGGCAAGTGGATGCACAAATAATGAATGACAGGCACAGCTGAGACATGATAAAAGCATGCACAGGGGCTCTCCACATCTCTGCAAGACACACCAGCTTGAGCTTTCACCTGCAGAACTTCCTTGGCTGGTAATGAGGCTGCTCCACAGTGTTACAGTTAATATGGGATTTAAAAAACTGCTGCAGGGGAGAATCACTTGAACCTGGGAGGCAGAGGTTGTGGTGAGTCGAGATCACACTATGGCACTCTAGCCTGGGCAACAAGAGCAAAACTCCATCTCAAAAGAAAAAGAAAAAGAAAAAAACTGCTGCAGGGCCAAAGATAAATGCCAGCCTTGCAGACTTTGAAAGCAGCAAAAGTAACTCCCATCAGAGGAGACAAGCAAAGAAGATGAAAAGGAATAGTCACTGGAAAGGGCCAATCAATTAAGCTTTGTGTCACCTGGGTTCAGCTCAAGGAAGTTCTTCAGAAGCCAAGGTTAGATGTGAAAAGCCAGTAATACCACGGTGACCTGGATTAATAGACATGGATGCCTGAGTTTCTATCTGCATGTAAAGCTGTGATTATAATGAAAGAAATACAGTCCCAGCATTCAAAAAAATTGTGCAAAAGAGCCTTAAAAGTTTATGCAATGATGTTCTCTGGAAAAGGAATTAAAACTACTTGTCACAGTACTAAAATAGGCTTCCCTTATATGTTATGTATAAAATCTCAACAGTGCCACTATTAGACACGTGCATATATATTTCCTTCCTCCATATCTGGGGATGTTTGGTAAGGAAGCATGCATCACAGCGTGTTAAAGGGAAGGGACTAAGAATTTTAGCAAACCAAAATGAAACTAACAGACATTAGCAAAGGATGTAATTGTGAAAAGAAAAACAAGGAGCTGAATAAAAAAATCTCAATCTCAGAAAAGTACTTTTGTCAGATTTAGCAAATAACTGGAAAATTGCTGAAGAGGCAGCTGAACCCGTCTGAAGCTACTCCTTTTTGTTTCATGTGTGGGGCAAATTTGTATTGAGTCCTTACTAGTGAAATCACTTTCTGGAGAGCTCAAAAAGACTCAGCCATTCTAAAAAGAAGCTTAAGAAGTGGTAAATAGGTCTATACCAAGAACCTCACAATAGAGCAGTCCTTTGAACCTAGGCTGGGAAATGCCGCATGGATACTTGATCAGAAGGAATGGCTCATGTTATAGTAACCTGAACTTCTGGAAGGAGGTAGAAGATGATTAATTAGTGTAAAAACTCCTCAAAATCAAGATCATGCAAACTTCAAGGAGTTACCTTTTATCATGTTGGAGTCAAATAACACACTTGTCTATTATAAGGAATGATCTGTGGATTTGAGTTGTTATTTCTTAAGAATAGTTCAGTATCCTCTTGTTATTGGTATTAGTATACTCTTCTATCTGTGAAACACAATAGGGTCTGGAATTCAGTTTAAACATGGATAGCATGTAAAACATTAGCCAACTCCAGAGCTGCTTTTAAATTAACTGGTTTCTGAATGAGAAGATTGGCCTTAGGTGGTTATGACCTAACCTTTTTCCCTTGAGTTTCAATAGCTTGGTTAATCAAAATCTTTGTTTTTCTTAGTCATTAAATTCAAATCCTAAATGAATTTCTGTATCCAGATTACAAGGCATTAATTTTGTTCTAATTTTTATGTATGCCAGACAGTCCCTGTCCAAATGCTGTTTATAAACCATCTCCATTGCCTGTTTCCTTGGTAATTGGAATGACTGGCTCTCACTCATTATTTTTCAGAGACTTGAATTGTTGACACTGCTGTGTCAGTGTGAGATAAGAAAAGCTTAGCGATTTCTTTTGTTTAGAGTCTTCTGATTTCCTTGTTGTACCTGAAGGTCAATGACTGTTAAAGCAGGGGTGGATTAGACTAAAATACAGAAAGCATAAAGGCAAATTGGAAAAGATCCATGGTGACACTATTTAATTCTACCCAGTTAGAAACATGTAGGAGGATTTACCTTCATAAGACTGTAAAAATGGAACTCAAATATCTTCCATGCTTAGTGAAGTGATAAAGAGTATTTTGCAGCTTACTAAGCTGTATGACCCTAGGCCTTGGAAAAGTCATTTTTTCTTCCATAAAATTTGGGGGTGGGCGAGTATTAATCACCAAATGCTTTTTCAGTATGATAATTCTATGGTTTCTAGCCAAATTCATTACATTGTAATTCATAGCAAAAATCATAAAAATCATAAAACTCATGTTACCTATAACAAAATTATGTTGAAGTTCAAAGCTATGGCTTTTAATTCCCTTCAAGTTTGTTTTTAAATTTGCTAAAGAAAATAACACATTTTACTCAATTTATGTAATAAGACTAGGAGAAAACTCTTTGGTATCATTTGTATCAGTGACACTATACATACATATAGATAGATTGATTGATTGATAGATTTTATATATATATATATATATTTTATTCCAGATACCTCACAAAATTTTGCTTTGTATTTAGAAAAAAAAGCAATATTGGTCACTAAGTAGAATTGAATTCTATACCTTGCCTGTGCAAAACATGTTAAAATTCACCAAAATAAAAATGCTTTCAATGGTTCTGACCATTGAAACCACTTTGGAGATACAAACTTCTACATGGTATTTAGTTTCTTTTTCTCTTTATTTTTAAAGGTTAATCTGATTCCAAATTATTTGCTTCACCAGGGACCCACATTATCTGGGCCTGAGAAAGAAAGGAAGAAATACGTATTTTTCAAGTTATAGATACAATAATTGGAAGACCCTAACATCTTAAGTCTAAGAAAACAAAGTTCCTTGGACAGCACGAACACATAGCAAAAATGACTTCACTTTTACTTGCCTCCCTGTTTGTGTGTGTGTGTGTGTTTAAGACAGTTTCATTCTTATTGCCCAGGCTGGAGTACAATGGCGCGACCTCAGCTCACTGCAACCTCTGCCTCCCAGGTTCAAGCAATACTCCTACCTCAGCCTCCCAAGTAGCTGGGATTACAGGTCCCTGCCACCACACCTGGCTAACATTTTGTATTTTTAGTACAGAGTTTTGCCATGTTGGCTGAGCTAGTCTTGAACTCCTGACCTCAAGTGATTAACCGGCCTCATCCTCTCAAAGTGCTGGGATTACAGGCGTGAGCAACCATGCATGGCCTCTGTTTTCATATTTACATTTGCTAGGCACTATTTGCTAATAGTATGATATGGTTAAGAGCACAAACTTTGGAGAAAGACACTAGCTATGTGAACTTGCATAAGTTTACTCACCTCACTGAGATTTAAGCATCAATGAGAATAAAGCCCATTTCATAATGGTCTTGAGTGAAGGTTATAAGAAGCTATGTAAAGGCCCTGGCATATGGGATAATGGGGTAGCTGCTACAATTTTTCACATGTATTAAGTACTTTATATATTCCTTGTTATCATATTACTGGCCCCATTTTATAAGTGAAATTGAAAAATCTCTATTCGCTTTATCCAATGCTTTAGCCAAACTATGCTGCTTTTGGTTTATGAAAGGTGATGTTTGTTTTATCACCTTTATGTCTGTTTCCAGCCTGCTTGCTCTATCTGAAATGATCTTTCCCCTGTTCCTGCCTATTGCAGTTTTACTAGTTCTTAAGTTTAAGCCAAGCTACTTGTATTACAAAACATTTCATCATCCTTCCCATTGGATACACAAAATGAAGTTCTCTTTCATGCCTTTGAACTTTCCCTTCCAAGATGAGAACTCCTCGAGGGCAGGAACCTTATCTTTATAATCTCTGTCACACCTGAAACCCTGGTACAGTGCATTCCACAATACCCAAGTATTGTCCTAAATAATAAATAAATCATTGATGATTCTCTTTTTCTTCTTTTGAGTGATTTTTGGACTCACTGATTTGTTTGGGGAACTTTGAACATAACCATTGAACAGAGATATTAAGTTGATGGCAGTGGTATTTTTAGAAGAAATGAGGTTATTTTCTGTTTTTCATTTTTTAAAAGGTGCTCCAATAAAAGCATTGGGTAATTAAGCTAAAAGTGGTTTAGATTTTATATTCATTTCAGATATTTATAAGAAATTTTGTATCTACAGTACTCGTTTAATGATGTATTTTTATTACAAATTGTTATTCAGTTTCAGTTTATAGTAGTGGGATTCAGATTTGTGAAGAATTTATGAAACCAACCTGTCAAAAGAAATTTCCTGAAACCATAGTCTGAAAGATGGCATCTGGTTATTACATTAGGCTTGGATGTGTTTAAGGCAAATTATTTATAAGAGAAAACTGGAATGAACTACACTGACCTCTGAGTAGCAGATATGCAGAGCTATGATGGGTACTGCACTTCATCATAAACTAAAAACAGTGTCAAGTACTATTCGTGCTTTATCAACTTTTGTTTACCGTGAAAAAGTACAAGTTTGTTTTTCTGCCATTTTGAAAGAAAATAAGTGCAGGAAACTAGAAATTGCTATATATTCAGTAAGCAGCTGTTCCTTTTATTTTGGTTTAGAAAGGCAAGTATTTCATAAATAAGAACAATAATTACTACTCTGAAATTGAGGTTTAGTAAGGTTTCTTTTCATTTGCTATGTCTGACTGAAGACTAACAGGATACTCTCTATCAACAATAGGGGATATCTCATGTTATTAATGGCCTGAGTAACAAGGGCAACTATTAGATAGGTGTCATGTACATCCAGACAGCAGGGAGAGATTCTCATTTACTTAATCTTCCATATACATATGGAAAATTTAGCAATAAATTGGTCATCCTTGTATTTACGTGTTCAGGAGTTGATGTGTTTGAGAACAAAAGTATCCTTATCAAAACTATGTTTGATTCTTTTTTCTAAAGGAACTTGTGGAGTACTACAAGCATCATTCTCTCAAGGAAGGGTTCAGAACCTTAGATACAACTCTGCAGTTCCCATACAAGGAGCCAGAACATTCAGCGGGACAGAGGGGTAATCGACCAGGCAACAGCTGTGAGTATTGAGAATACAATTTGCTGTCACTTAATAATTAGAGGCACAATAACATTAAACATCTTCATTCCAAATTTTAAAATATAACTGATGAATGTGCTAATGCATGAGCAAGGACTTTTTTCTGGAGCTAAATAGAATCAGATGGATCAACAGGCTTATGAATATATCTAATTGTAGATCTTTATGGCAAATTAAAAATTATGTTTATGTTCAAAATTCCACCAGAAATGTAAAATATATGTTAATATTTACATTATATACTTTTCATTAACTTTTATATTAACTAAACTCTTGTTAACTGACATGTAATGCTTGTGATCATAATTCTGTTTGAGTTATGTATGTAAGCAGGGCTGGTACACAGCTCGTCAGTTACCCTAGTATCTCAAATCTGCTTATGTTCTATTTTAATGACTGCTTTCAGAATTTTAACATTGCTAACGTGTTTTTTGGGGTGCTGGTATTTCTAAAACCATACCTTAGCCACTTTGTTTCAGAATGAGTTCTGTGCCACAGCTAATCACAAAAGATCAGCATGCAAACGAAAACATGTTACAGTTGAACTGGAATCTAAGTCAAAAACTTCGTTTCTCATTGTTTAATGTTACAAAATCTTCCTGGAGATAGATATAGTATGTAACCAAAAAAAATGTAACGAAAAATGTCACGAACAAGGTGTGATTTTATTCTCTTATTTTGATATCACTTTAAAAAAAACTGTTTTAGGGGAGAAATAAATACAGTTTCATTACTCTTAGAATCTTTAGCCTAAGCAAAACTGGGATATCTAGAGGTATTTGAAAACAGAACTTGCATCAGTTTAATATAACTTTATATTTTTGCCTAAAAGCAGAAACTAAAAGGGAAACAGGTAATGCTCTGGGTTTCAACAGTGTCAGCGAAGTTTTATACATTTCAGTTTAAGTAAACAAACAATTTGTCACATCAACTGACATGTTTTTTATTTAAGTAACTTAATAGATGTTCTCCTCACAGTGATCAATGAATGACATATTCGTAAGCTCCTACAGTGAAAGCAGAGCGAACTTCATGTTAAAACATTAAACACCTATTACATTTTATCTTGTTACTTTTTAGCCCAAGATGACTTGACTATTTTAGATTCTCAAATAGGCATAATTTTTGCTCATTCAAAATGGAAGTTTTCCATAAAAAAACGTTTTCCTACAAATTTCTTAAAACTCTATTGAAGCTATGACATTTCCCCCAGCATGAAACATGTAATTTTCAAAGCTCTGTTTCTTGGCCTTCCCAGCAGCAAGAGATAATAAAAGTTGCCAAGGAGGTCAGTTAGATGAAAAATCTTGTTTGAGTTGATCACTTAGCTCTAGAGAACCTAGGAAGGAGAAGTGGGCAGACAGGGAGAACAGATGTCCCATATTAGGTAGGAAGGTCACTAACCTTCATATTTCACTCTGTGGTTTCCTCCCAGCCAACTCCTCAGTGTTTAGCACATGGGAGATATTCAGAGAATGTCATCTAGCAAGGAATGAAGTTTCCTAACCTAAAATTTTATCTCAGGTTTCATGAAGTATTTAATGCTAAAACTTGTTTGGCAACTAGGAAGAGAATTACAGGCCCTTTTTAAAAAAAAAAAAAAAAAAAAAAAAAGCATAGCCAGTAGAATGTCTTTGAATATCCATGCTAGCCCCTGAGAAATTTTTTAACAAATAAAGCTATGGGTTCCATGAAGAATCAAATTTAAAAAATGATATCAAAATAAGAGAATAATATAAAATAAGAGAAAAAAATCACACCTTCTTCGTGACTTCTCAAACTTCTCTACCCAATCTTTTTAAGAGATTCTGACAACTTAAGTGAAGCCACTAAAACTTTTTTGTGTGTAATTGTGAAGGGAAAGCAAACAATTCATTTAAAATTTTATAAAGTTTGGTTTTGTTGATCAGTTACTCATTCATTCGTTAAACAGACATACATTAAACACCTAACACACACAAGGTTCTGGGATATAGTGATTAAGAAGACAAAGTTCCTACCTTTATGGAGTTTACATTTTAATGGGGAGACTCCGGCAAGTCTGGCTTGGAGGAATTTTATATTTTAACATGGAGTGATCAGGGAAGATCTCCCTTATAAAGTGACTCAAAAGACGAGAAGGGGAGTGGGTTAGTAATGATTGCACAGTGGTTAACCCTCCAAGATTAGTCATTCGTTACTGCAAAGAAGGATTACAATCTTTGATCAAATTTTATGATACCCTCCCAATGTTTTATTTACTTTAGACTAATTTGTATAAAGTTAGAGGAAGAGTAAGATGGTTCTGAGGACTAAATCAGGTGCTCTATATAAAGCACTTAGCATAGTGCTCTTACATGGTAAACAGTTAAAGTTATTGCTGACTCTGCAACTTCTACTTTCTCTACTACTGCTGCTACTTCTAACTCATTCTAACACGGCACTTTTCTATATTTCTAAGGCTTGAATAAATTTACTAATTATGACTTATAGCAATTTACATCTTTGCCATTATGATTTTTTAAATATAACTTGCTTATTTTATACCAAGTCTTGATAAAGGTTCACCCTTAAAGAAAGACTGCTTCTGTTTCTATGCATGTTGTGCATCCCAGGAAGTGGTAAGGAGGAAATGCTGCATGTTCTGTATAGGAAGATTGTGTGGGATGTCTTCATATTGCTTACCTTTGGTTCATGGCTTTAGATATGCTGCTATCATCTAAAAATAACATTTGCCAAGCATTATTACCTCGGGAAACTGGGTTGGACAGAAATGGCATCTCCATTACTTCTAAAAGGCCTTGGAGGATACAGAGCAAGCAAGGTAAAGCTTGGAACCATTCTGTGTTCTGAGTAGAGATTGAGAATGGAAGTTCAGCTCCTGAAACCTACTGTTCATTATTCTTATTACTTTTAAACAATATAGTCACCTTGAAAAAGAAAGTCTCAGAGCACTGCACAGGCTGATTGCTTTTGGGCTAGTCTAGGTTAGAATGTTCTTAGGATGTTTACCAACTATTTTTTCAAGTATGTACAATGTGATAAGATTATGACAGGGCTATCTTATGCAAATGCAAAATAACATGTAAAAAGATACTGATTAGAATTAAGCAAGTGTCCAAAGTATTGGGCAAGGAGCATAACATTTTAAAGTTACGAGCCCGTCATAGGCTATCTCTCAGCCTGTCTCCCAGAGTGACGGGATTTTGTCTTTGTCTTTGGAATGACTTGAGAGTCATTCTAAGAAAGAAGAGAAGAGAGAAAAAGAACAAAGAGAGAACTCAGGCATAGCAGTGAGCTCTTGTGCTTCCCCTGGAAACTTCAGTGGCTCCATGAAAGATGCTCTATGGATCTTTGTAAAAATCCCATTATTTTCCAAATGATCATCTCAAACCTACATGCCTTAGATTGCTTTAGGTATGTCTGTGGGGCTCGTATATTTGAAGGGCATTAAATTGACTTTTGCCTTTCTTGCTCTACAATGAACACTCAATTATTTTCAGGTCTGCCAGAGTAGCTGTCTGACCTTAGGCGAGTCACTTAGCCTATCTGGGCCTTAGCTTTCTCATATGATGAGTGAGGAATGAGATTAGAGATTTTATAATGTTCTTTTAAAAATTGCATCTTAAATTTTTTTCTTTGTGTGTATGAGAGAAGCGGGTAAGGTAATATTAATAGATTGGCATACTAGGAAATGTTGTATAATTAGCTATTTTGTGACCCATAAGCAGACCTAAATATTTTGCCAAGTTTTTATTTGTAGAGAACTAGTTGGGCCACAGAGTAGAGTTCGGTAATTTTTAAAAATGGCCATCACTATATTTATATAATATCAAAGTATCTTCCATAAGAACTTATTAATTACAAAAGGATAATGGTAATTTCCAAGCAATCAAAGTTAATGTCACTATTAATGGGACAAAGATATATCATGTACCTCCTAATATAATGCTCCAAGTAGGACACACCAACACTTTGATTGTATTTTTGTCCCAAAAATGCATAAGTGGAATCTAATCATGATAAAACTATCAGACAATCCCAAATTGAAAGACATTCTGCAAAATAATTGGTTTGTACTCTAAAAATGTCAAGATCATTAAAGACAAAGTCTGAGGAACTGTTTCAGATTACAGAAGACCAAGAGATATGGCAACTACGTATAACATGTAGTCTTGCATTGAATTCTAGAACAGGAATTGAAAAGATACATATATGCACAGTGTATATATATACAATATATATGTATACACACACATACATATACACATGTATGTATACATGTGTACATAGTATCATATATTTTGTATATGTAATAAAATATGTGTATATATATGTTGCTATAAAGGTTGTGATGCAATTAGCAAATTTCAAATAAATTCTCTCAATTAAGAAATAGTACCACATCAATGCAATTCCCTGCTTTTGATAACTATACCGTGGTTATACAAGAGAAGAGAATACTTCTTTTAGGGAACATGTGCTGAGTGTTTAGCAATAAGGGGCATTATGTCTGCAATTTATTCTCAGGTGGCTCAGGAAAAATACATAGATTGATAAGTAAACATCATAAAATGTTAACATTTGGGCATCTGAATGAAAAATGTGTGGGAATTCCTTTTGCTATTCTTGCTACTTTAAGTCTGAAATATTTCAGAATAGAAAGTTTTAAATTGTGGAGATCATCCCATCTGCAGCTCTATTTGAAGAACTGGGAGGTAGTGACAGTGTCCTTTTGCCTGCTTCAGAGATAGGAGGGCCTGATTAATTGATTTCAGGACATGTAGAACACTAGCATATACTGAACAGATCATATTTGAAGCCATCTGTTCCTTACCTGTGACTTTATGGGATTTGCTTATTCAGTCATTCATCCCTTTATCCTGCAAATATTTTCAACACGTAGCATGTGCTAGACCTTGTGCTAGTTACTGGAATAACAATAGTGAATAAGATTCCCAATCTGGTGGACAGGAAAAGACAAAAACAAAGGTCTTCAATAATCACACATTTTGATGATCCTTATGAAGCTGAAGCATAAGTGCAAGGAAAGGGGAGCAGGATCATTTAACCTGTAGGGTCAGAGAAATACTTTTGAAAGTAACAGTCAGGCTGAACTCAAAGGGTCTGTGAGAGCTGACAGGGTGTGGGGTGGTGGCCAGTAGGGAACCTGCATAGTGAACAGGTCACTTCTGTGAAGGTTCATAAGCAGCAGCAGAGAACTCTGTATGTTTGTGTTCTTTTTTTTTTTTTTTTTTTTTGAGACGGAGTTTCACTCTTGTTCTCTGGGTGGGAGTGCAATGGCGCGATCTCGGCTCACCGCAACCTCCGCCTCCTGGGTTCAGGCAATTCTCCTGCCTCAGCCTCCTGAGTAGCTGGGATTACAGGCACGCGCCACCATGCCCAGCTAATTTTTTGTATTTTTTTTTTTAGAAGAGACGGGGTTTTACCATGTTGACCAGGATTGTCTCGATCTCTTGACCTCGTGATCCACCCGCCTCGGCCTCCCAAAGTGCTGGGATTACAGGCTTGAGCCACCGCGCCTGGCCAGAACTCTGTATGTTTAAGGAACTAAAAAATGATCAATGTGTTGGGAGCACACGGAGTAGATTCTGATATTTGCAGTAGAAATGTGTTGAAGTTTTACAGACAGAAAATGGTGTGAACTAACTGACATTGTTTTAAAAGATCACTGACTGCTCCTGAGGAGTGGCCTGGAGGGAGGCATGCACAGGAGGGAGATGAGTTAGGAGGCTATTGCAGATGTCCACGAGAGGGATGAGCATGCTTTGGACATGAGTTGCATAGTGACAGTAGAGAAGGACAGTGGCAGATTTGGATATACTTTAGAGGTTGAGTTGATTGGATAAATAATTTGAGATTAAATTAGTACAAGTATGGTGCCTAAGTATTTGCCTTGGACAGCTGGCACATGATAAAACTGCTGACAAACCAGGAAACAGAAGAGCTAGAACAGGTTTAAGAGGAAAAGGTAATCTACTGAGTTTTGCACAGTGTTCAGGTACCTACAGATACTCAGTGGTTTAGTATGCAGTTGGCACCTAGGAGGGTGGTCTTGATTGAAGGTAGAATTCTATGAATGATTAGTACTTCATTTCATAGTTCACATAGAATATAGTGTTGTGAGAATTATAGGCTTTTTAATTTCTTCTGATCATTGTTCCCTGGAACCCTAGGAGCCAGGACCCTTTGCTTGTCATTCTCAATTGTACTTTTGCACAGTTCTTTGCATGAAATACCCTCAGAAGAGGCTAAATAAGTGAAGTCAGAGCCTAAGGTTCATGGGAGACACACCAGATATTAGAGTGCTAAGTTGATACTGGAAAAGCATGGAAATATGGGTAAGCTTGAAAACAAAATTTAGATTAGCATGTTCCTTTCAGTGTGGTGACAAATAGCGTAGCAGTTCTTCAAAGATTGACAAAAGCTACTCATGTCATTGGAACCACATAGATGACCTTGCAGGAAGAAGTAGAAGCCAGAACAGTGCCTAGGCTGTCTCTCCCTGGGTGTGGTCTCTTTCTTGCCATTCGCGGTCCCCATTATTCTATTCACCATCTAACAACGTGCTTATGCTTCATTTTTAGTCACTATTTTAGGCAGAAACAGAAACTTGGATAATTTGTGTTATGTTTATTTAACTAGAACATAGAACATAATATAGCATTCTCATTCCTGATAATTCCTTAACTACTATTTATTAGTTATATTACAATGCAATGGGAACAATATATATTATCTCCTTCATACAGGTTCCCAAACATCCACTTAACTTAGTTTCTCCCTTGCCCTTTTAATTCAGCATTTCCCATATTCATCTGCCTTTATTTTCTGATCTTATTTTGTCCTCTGATTTTGTCATCTTTTCCTTGGTCATTTTGCACTTGGATTTGATATGATCCAATTTTATTCTGGTAATTTAAATATTTGCTTTAATCTCATTAGTTTCCAAGAACTGCTATAAAATTACCATAAACCAAGTGACTTATAACAACAGTGGTTTACTCTCTCACCCTTCTGGAGGGCAGAAGTTGAAAATCAAAGTGGTGGCTGGGCGCGGTGACTCACGCCTATAATCCCAGCACTTTGGGAGGCCGAGACGGGTGGATCACAAGGTCAAGAGATCGAGACCATCCTGGCCAACAAGGTGAAACCCCGTCTCTACTAAAAATACAAAAATTAGCTGGGCATGGTGGTGCGTGCCTGTAGTCCCAGCTACTCGGGAGGCTGAGGCAGGGGAATTGCTTGAACCCAGGAGGCGGAGATTGCGGTGAGCCAAGATCGTGCCATTGTGCTCCAGTCTGGGTAACAACAGCGAAACCCCATCTCAAAAAAAAGAAAGAAAGAAAGAAAGAAAGAAAATCAAAGTGTTAGCCTCCATTCTTCTGGAGACTCTGAGGAAGAATCCTTCCCATGCTCCTCTCTTAGTTTCTACTGGCAATCCTTGGCGTGGCTTGGTTTACAGATGCATTGCTCCAGTCTCTGCTGGTTTTCATGTCACCTTCTCTGTGTATCATCCCCCCTTCTCTTTTCTTATGGACAGTTGTTACTGGATTTAGGGCCCACCCAAATACAGATTGATCTCATTTTGAGATTCTTAACTGAATTACATCTGCAAAGAACTCTGTTTCAAATAAAGTCACATTCACAAGTTCACAGGTTCTAGGAAGGCGTATCTTTTTGCAGGGTCACCATTCGACCCACTGCAGTTTCATTGTGTTAATTTTAAACTTTTCTCTAATTTTTTTCCATCCTTATTCTAATTTTTCTTTTTATCACATTTATAACTTGGAGTTATAAGCA